GCGGGGAGTGGGGGCGCCTGCAGGCCGGGCTGACGGGCAGGGCAAGGAGGCGTGGGTGGTGATGACAGGTGTGTGTGGCTGACTAGCGCCGATGGTTACAGGGGTCGTCAGCACATGGAGATGGATGCCGCAGAATTGGGTTTCTGAGCTTGACGTGGACGCTCCCGGCCGCCATCCTTGGGCCGAGCGCGCGCTACTTCAGTCGACTGCACTCACGAACACCACACCTTCTTGCTTTTAGGACCGTGAACATGCATGTGCTCCCCAGGGAAACACACCAGCACTCACACATAAGTACACCTGCGGGCGTGTGCCCGCGCACACACACACACACCCCCACCCCCCCCCCACTCAATACATACACACACAACACACGCTCACACACTCTCGCCGTCACGCCCCATGCCCCCATCCCCGCTCACCACATGGCCGTGTTCTCGTCGAACACCGACGATCCAAACCGCGGGCCCCCCGCCTCCGAGAGCGCCGACTCGCACACAGACGGCTGCACGTACTTCACGTGAGCAAACTGCAGCAGCTTCGGGAGCGCCCCGTCCTGCCCCAGGGTCGGGTCCGCGCCGTAGTCCGTCGTGCCCCAGCCCGACACCATCCAGGTGCTGCCCTTGGCGGCCGCAAACTCTGCAGTGCATGCGGTGCAGCACGGCCGCGCATTGCTGTGTGCAGGGATTGTCCCAGGCTCGGAAAAGGTCGCGAGCGCGGTCAGCGCAGGCGGCATCCTGCACTACACAGTCAAACCAGGCGGAGCTCCGCATGCAAGGCCCCAGGCCCTCACACCGCTGCAGGCACCCCGCAGACACGGCACCTGCCCCTTCACCCCGAAAGCAACCCCTTCAGACCCAGATTTCGTGCCCCCAGCCCAGCGCACCCTCTGGTGTGGCGATTTTGATGGGCTGCACCGCGGGCCCCAGCGCCACACATTGGTCGAGGAACACGAGGGCAATGTCGTTGCGGCTGTTCTTGGGGCTGTAGGCCGGGTGGCGCACCGCGCCCCGCACGCGGTACTCTGTCGCGTCGGTGTCTGGGCTCAGCCAGTTGATGATGCCGCCTGGGGAGAGGGGATGTCGAAGGGGATGATATGAGAGCGGAGACAGCGGGCGGAACCCGGTGGGGTTCACGTGCGGCGGCCGGCGGTATGCTGATGTGAACGTGGGCCAGTCGTGGCGACGTTGCGGCTCCCCGGAGGATTGGCGGGGGCTGATCAGGGGTCGGCTCGGCTCGCTTGAGCTCGCTCTCAAGTAATTCTCCGCAAGGTTGCCGGCGGCCCCTGCCCTCGCCCCAAACCCCGCTTTTCACCCGCCATCCCATCACTTGAGCGATCCCATCCTCTCACCCACCCAACCCGTCCGCCTGTCCACCCACCCACCTGCGTAGATCCGCATCTCGTCTACCGCGGCGGCGTCGATGCTGGAAGGCAGGCAGTGCGCGGCCGTCAGGGCGACGTCAGCGCGGATGAGGCTGGCGCCGCACATGCTGCTGCCGCCGTTGGACGTGCGGGGACGGAAGCCCAGCTGGTATTTAAACCTTTAGGGGGGGGGACGGCGAGCGCGAGAGGCCGGCCGTGAGGAGGTTTGGGCAGAAACAATGAGCTTGCGACAGTTTGTCCTCAGCCGCAGGCTGGGGGGTGCGAAACCGGCCAGGTTCTCAAACACGACTAAAAACAGCGGGCTGCAAGTTGTGCTCTAATTGCTAGAGCAACGGGTGCAGTGGGCCACGCCCTGCAGACGCACTCTGCTTGGAGCGCGTGTGCACGCGAGCGCGCTCACCTCTGCTTTCTAGGCGTGGCGCCGTTGACGACGCGATACGCGGCGCCTGGCACCAAGCTGCGCACCCGCAACCAAACAAAAGCGAGCCGCTGGTTAGTAAGGCGCCTGCTGGCAATATTGCTGCATTCATGCACACATCCCTGGGGTCTGGCACATCGCCTCGCTCGCGATTGCCCACCCGCTGCCGCCATCATGCGCACGTGGGGCGGCTGAGACCAACCCACCTGAGGGCACCTGGAGCTGTATCGCTGCCGGCAATGGGCGTCAAATTGCCGCTGGCAGTGTCAGTGACGGGGGCGGGCTGGCGCGCCGTCAGGGCGGTGCTGTCTGAGAGCAGGCGGTGCGCCAGAGAAGCCTGCGGGAAGGCCGCCAGCACGCCCACCAGCAGCACGCCGACCGCCACTCGGCAGCATGGCTGCATGCTTTGAGCGCGCCGCTGTGAATGCGCAACAGGCTCGTGCATTTCTTTCTGTGTTGGTCTGCGTTTCAGGGCTAGGCTGCCGCACGGGGGGATGCAAAGATGAGACCGATGTGTAAGTACCAGGATCACGGAATTCCGCCGTGGACGGCGGTGATATACGATGCCAATATCTAGCATATCCTTATACTGCGGTCACGGCTGGTTTGGGCTGGTGTCACCCGTGTGGCAGCTACTCGAACGCAGAAGTTCCGACGAAGGAAAGCGAAGAATGCGCCCACGTGTTTGTGTGTGGCCGACTACCACTCCAAGGTAGTCAAAGTATCAATTCATTGTGCGCGTGTGTGTGTGCACGCGCGCGCGCGCCGATCCCTTTCATGCATTCTTAGAGCAACATCAGCTCGCAGGAACAAGCAGCCACCGAAGACGTCCACAGCCCACAACTACCTATGCCCAGGTCTCTAGCCCTGCTCTCTCTCTCGCTCTCTCTGTCACACACACACACGCGCGTGCATGCGTGCGTGCGTGCGTGTGTGTGTGTGTGTGTGTGTGTGTGTGTGTGTGTGTGTGCAGGGAGGGGCGCCAGGTGGGGGGTTAGTTGTCGTGCCTCACTGATGCCATCGCGCGAATTGAAAGCAAGGCGGGGTGCAGGCGTCCACCCATTCCTTATTGAGAAGCGCCATGGCGAGGGGGCGGCAAGATGCCCGGCGATCGCCGCAGCCGTACACCCACCAGCTCCGGCGCGTTGCAGGACCTTGGCGTCAAGGCGAGGGCAACAGGTTTAAGCGCCGCCCTCTGAGGCCGCGCGGCTCGCCGCGACTTGGCGCAGGTCGAAGGGACGGCAGCTGCTCACGGCAGTAAGCCGGCCCTGCCACCGCCGCCGTGGTCCGGGAGGCCACCCAGCAACTGCGGGTTCACCATCACCTGTCAGCATCACGTCACGGGGTCGGGGTCTGTCAGTTCTTTGTTGCCGGGCTCTGATTGGTTTGACTCTCCATATGCTGGGTCGGTGGTGGCAGCGCGGGGGCTGCCTCGTGCCAGGCAGTCCGTCATGCGCACACTGCACATGCAGTCCAATGGACGCTGCATAGTCTGATGATGACTCGTGGCGCGGCGCATTGCTCTCATTTATAGACATTGTGTGGGACGCGGGGTGGCCCAACCAACCTGGCACTTGTTTGGGGAGGCGCCTCACACGATTGTGTGCGCAGCAGCTCATAAAGGCGTCATCTGGTATCCCTTCTTGTTTGCTCATCTGCCATCGAGTGTAGGGCTCGCGCGAATGCTGCCATCTGCTGCCACTTCACCAACTGTGCCGCATCCGATGTGTGCAGGGCAGACTTGCAGATACGTGGTGCCTTTGTGCACACCTGCTTTGATGGGCCAACGCTGGCCACTTGATGAGTCCCAGTCACACAACGCTGATGCTACAACGCCACATCCCATGAGCCTGGATGGCTCCAGGAGCGGGCGACCGCGGGATCTTGTAACAATCCTGACCCTAATCCTATGTGCACCAGTCCTGCACGACTGGTGCGTTGCATGCGGCTGCATTCAGGTGAACCCGCGTGCGCTCAGCCACGCACAAACGCCCATGTTTGCGACCATACGCACACTCCCAGCCACTGCACGGCCCATGCCCCCGCCCCCCAAGGCCCATCGCGGCGACGGTAGGGCCGTGTAAGCAAGCGCAGCGTGCACGCAGCGCGGCAGCGTTGGGCCGGTTCTGTTGTGACTGGTCAACACCTTCACACGATCAAAGGCACGCACGGCAGTTGCATCGGCCGCGGTACCGCGCACTGCAACAACGCTGCAGCCTGGCAGCTCTCCTAGGATGGCCGCCGGGGTGATTGTAGTGCAGCGCCTAGCGCCCAACAGCGGGACAGGCTGGCAACCTTGAAGCCAAGGCCTGCTGCCGCACGGCCCGTGGCTTAACCCCATGGGGGTCAGCCGTGCCCGTCCGCGTGCGGCCGCGCCCCTACGCAACGAGGGACACGTGGACCGTGTTGGCGGCCCCGGGGCCCGCCTTTATCTGCGGGTAGTCCGCCAGGCACAGAATGTCGATGAGCTGCTTCCCGCCGCCCTCCCCTAGCGCCAGCTGCTGCTTCTCCATGCTGAGGCCTGTTGGGGGGTAAAAAAGTTGTGAGGGCTCACGGGGCCGGCGCGGCAGGGGCAGGGGCCTGCGCGAGGCGCGCACATGCGGCGGGCGCGGCAGCCCGTCGACCCGCCAAAAGCGCGGCCGCCCGCGCGGGCCGGGCAGGCGCACCGAAGTCCTTCTCAATTTTTAGCTTGACGAACGCCACCGTGTGGCCCATCTTAAAGGCCCTGGTCTGACTCTGGCCGTCTGGCAGCTTGAGCAGGAGCTGGGCGGGAGGGTGAGGGGGAGGGGCGGAGCGGCAGGATGTGCGCGCGCCCGCGCGGACAGACGGCCGCCCGGTGACCCCCGTATGGGCGCGTCTGTGTTGGCGCCTAGAATCAGCTGCATCGAGCGCATGGGATCTTGTTGGGGGCGCCAGCAAACAGCTTGCGTCCAGCAGTGCCGGAGCCATGTGCGAAGAGCGAATGCGTGTGCATAGGTGCGGTCGCGACGCGCACCTCAACGCTCTCGCCCTCCTCCTCGTTGACCTCCCGGGCCTTCACGTCGCTGTATTGCTCCCGCAGGGCGCCCGTCTCGCCCAGCTCCATCGCCGCCACCGCTTGCTGATGACAGCAGGCGCCGCGCCAGTTGCGTTTGCCGGCAGCGGGCAGCGATCACTTTTGCAGGACCGATGCCGTTGCGGGACTATGTAGCAGCTGAAAGTTAGACCGATTCTTGCTTTCTATACAACCACGTCCTGAAGGGAGCGATCCCGCCTTCTGCGCGACGCGGCAGATCAGTGCAGAGTGGACGATAGTCGTGCAATTGAAGATTATCCTGTCAATGTCAACATCCCGGTATGATATGATACGTTGCAGGAACGGCAATGTCGAGACAGGGACACGCTTCAGACGTGGGAGCTGGCGTGTTTGAACCTGGGCCTGGAAGATTTCCGAAGCATATTGATGTTATGACCGTGTCCGCGTATGTCGCTGCACGAGCAGGCCGGTGCCAGGCCGGCGCGCGGCCTGTCAGTGCTGTCTGACCAAGTGTTGGTCTGGCCTAGCGGCCGGACCCTGGCACCTGGCCAGCTTGAGCTGGGCTGAGCTGGCAACAAAGTGCATGTGTATGAGGCTCCCCCCAGCTGGGTGCACTAGTCTACACCGCAAATGGCTCAAAACACATCGCAAACACTTGACCCCAAGATTAATCACGCTGCTTGTAAAGTCGAAGGCAGCGATAACAGCCATAGCGTGACTAGCATTCAAACAAAGACGCCACGAATTAGCTTGTGTCGCATGTAGAATGTGTAAAAGGGAATGCTGCAGTCGCTCACAGGGGTACGGCGAAAGCATCGCAGCATTGAACGTGTGTGTGTTTTTTGTTTGGGGGCGGGGTCAGGCCTCAGAAAGACATGGGCACGGAAGAAAGCAGAGAAGTATGATGCTCTATCCTGCAGGACTTCCGGTGCAAAACGAGGTTGTGGGAACATGTTTTGGGGGCGCACATGGAGGGCCATGGCGGCAGGCACGATCAGCGCCTTGACGCAACGGCCCGGACACACCACGGTGGCTGGCCCACTGGCCCTGAGCAGCGCAGAGCATGAGGGCGATCGCTGGGAACGTGCGCTGTCAATTGTCAGTGTCAAACAAATCGTAAACTGCCATCGACAGCGCGGATGCGTGTTGCCGGCAGCGCTGGAAGATTCTGGATGCAGCTGCACGCCCAGGTGCGCTGCCACGCGGGGGTACGCGTCATGCGGTCAGACACGTACGACTCAGCCAGCCCCAGAGCACAGCGCTGATCCGTGAAGAAGGGCGCCTTGTGTTGCGCTGTAGAAAATATTAAGCACTACAGCATCCAGCCTTTGCTTCTGTCCCCGGATCAGGCCCGTGTCACCCGCAAGTGCGCTCACGCGCGTCACTTGCTGTGCCTGACTCGTAACAAATCAACGTATGAATCAGAGGACATTGCACTACACCGAATATCTTCACGTTTTCGATGCCCTCGCTCCGTAAAACCAACGTTGAATTTTGCTTTGAGCTGTCTGCGCCTCGCTCTGCCATTTGTGTTTGAACTTTCACGATAATAGCGCTTTGACTCTTTGCGCTTGCCTTGACGCCAAGGTCCCGCAACGCGCCGGAGCTGCTGGGTGCACGGCTCCGTCGATCGCTGGGCATCTTGTCGTCCCCTCGCCATGGCGCTTCTCAATAACGCATGGGTGGACAGCTACCTGGACGCCCTGGTGAGGATTATAGTGCGATCTTATGGGCTGTCGATGTTGGGTCGTTCGCATGGCCCACTTACCGCCTGCACCGTGCCTCGCTTTCGATTTGCGATGGAATGAACATTTAACTCAGGCTCCGCTGCCGCGCGCTGCCTTTGCTGCTCGCAGCTGTCGGCCGGGCTCTCAACCGAGGCCGCCCGGCGCGCCGGCGACACATCTGCGTCATCTGCCGACACGCCGGACTCTGTTGACGCTGACACCAATATCGCCGCCAAGTACTATGTGCAGACCCTGATGGCTCTGGACGAGGGTGAGGGCCTGGGCTTTGGGGGCGGGGGTGCCGCCGTCACCCACGGGCGAAGCGGTGTGTGTATAGGAGGCGCGTGCGGGGATTAGATTGCAGGCCCTGCATGTGGAAGCCTCTGCGGCACGTCGTCCGACGGAAGAGCCGACTGGGAGGGGCGGAGGCCGCCTCGTGAGGGTGCACAGCCGGCCTCCCCCGGGCTCGGCCGGGCGGGCACTCCGGGGCTGTGCGGAGCCTTCCAGGGTGTGGCGGACTTCAGACGCGCGCTGCACTGGGCCTGTACCGCCTTCAACCCGGCCGCGCCGACCTTTACCCCAGCCTGATGCCGTGGGCACCGCCTAGCAACGCCCCCAAACGTAACCCGTGCTGCTGCTCTCGCGTCGCAGAGAGCATCCAGCAGGCGTGGCTGCGGGTGAGATCCCTATGGGGAGCAACGGAGGGGGCGTTGCCGCGCCGCAGCTGCCGTCAGCGCGCCCTGCGGCTCTCCCTGCCTCCGCCTCGCCCTCCTCCCCACTTGCGTCCTCAACCCTTCCTGTGCCTGCTCTTGCTCGCCTGCGTCGATTGCGCCCGCCCCCTTTGAATTTCCATCACCAGATCTGATAATAATCTCCGACTCGGCCCAAACCTCGCACCGCTCCCCTGCAACATCGGCCGCCCCGCATCGCACACACCCGCTCCATCCTAACACCCCTTCGTCGTTCGCCTTGCAACGCCCACGAACACGAAACAGGTGCACGCCCGCTCCAGCGTGCGCCTCGCGGCCGAGCGCGACGCGCGCCTGGAGCACATCTGTTGGCGCGTCTGGTCGATGCGTCGCAAGGCCGCCGACGCCGCCGCCCGCGCCGCCGCCGACGACGACGCCGCCGCCGGCGACTCCCCCACCGCC